TTCAAGTCTGCTGGAAAAGAATGCGATCAAAACAAAGAATTCACAAAATTCAAGACACTGCTACATCATTTGAAGAAAATTTCGAGACCTTGGCATTTGAGCTTATCTGCATTGGAAACATAAATCAAGAAATCAAAGCACATAAAGATGAAGTATTTGCTACTGTCAATGTCGACATCGCCTGAAGAGGAAGAGGAAACTACTCCAAAAGCAAAGATTGACACGGGAGCCCAAGGAAATGTGCTACCCCTCCGCATCTATCGCAACATGTATCCCCAAAATATCAACGCCAACGGCAAACCAAGGCCAAGAACACTGAACCAATCAAAAGTCATCCTAGTAGCATATGGTGGCTCAGAAATCAAGCACTTCAGTTCAGCCAAAATCCCATGTGAGTTCAAAGGCATCAAGATAACAGCAACCTTCTATGTCACAGACACCAGCGCTCCTGCAATCATCGGTCTTCACACCGCAACTCAACTCAACCTTGTGAAATTCAATCTCAAAGTGAAAAAATCTCCACAACCTGAACTTTGTGCTCAATCAGTCAAATCAGCACCAATCAGAAGCAAACAAGATCTCATTGCACGGTACCCAGAATGCTTTGATGGAATAGGAAAGCTCAAGGGTGAGTATCATATCACCTTGGATCCTACCTCCAGTGGTCCATCCCCCACGCAAAGTACCCATCAGCATGAAAGACGAAACCAAGGATGAATTGGACAACATGGTAAAGAATGACATCATAGCAAAGATACAGGAAGGCGAACCTATGGCTTGGGTCAATAGTCTTGTCTACCAACGAAAGTCAAATGGAAGGCTCCACCTCTGTCTAGGCCAAAAGACCTAAACGAAGTGATTAAGTGTGAACACCACGTCACCCCTACTCTAAAGAAAATTCTTCCCAAGCTAAATGGAGCCAAAGTATTCTCAATAGTCGATGCGAAACGTGGCTATTGGAACATTATCTTGGATGAAGAATCAAGTTACCTTACAACGTTCAACTCACCCTATGGGCGTTACTGTTTCAAGAGAATGCCATTTGGACTGAAAATGTCGCAAGACATTTTTCAAACCTGCATCGACCAAACCTTTGAAGGATGTCATGGTGTCATTGGCATTGCAGATGATATTGTGGTCTACGGAGATTCGGAAGCATCACATGACGCCAACATGCATAGTATGATCAGTCAATGCAAAGAAACTGGCCTGAAGTTGAACCCCGACAAATGTTTCATTAAACAAGACCAGATCAAATTCTATGGAATAATCTGTACCAAGGATGACATCCAACCAGATCCTAGCAAAGTGTCAGCACTCAAACAGATGGCACCACCAGCGAACAAGCAAGAAGTCCAGACCTTCCTGGGGATGGCAAATTACACAAGTCCATTTATACCCAACTTGAGCACCCTGACCGCACCACTATGAGAGCTAATCACCGACAAGACACCATTCTGTTGGAATGCAACGTACCAACAAGCCCTAGACAAAATCAAGGAATCTGTAAGCAACAAAGTAACGTTAACCTACTTCGATTCAACAAAACCAATTGTCCTTCAAGTCGATGCATTGCTTTAAGGACTTGGCGCGGCCTTGTTGCAAGATGACAAGCCTGTTGCCTTTGCAAGCAAAGCCTTGATTTACACAGAGAGGCGTGATGCTAATATATAGAGAGAGATGCTAGCTGTCGTTTACGGATGTGAAAGGTTTCGCACTTACCTGTTTGGCCATAACTTCACTGTTCAGTCTGACCATAAACCGCCCGAGAGCATACACCTGAAGCACCTGACAGCAGCTCCACCCCGACTTCAACAGATGCTACTCAGGCTCCAACCATATGACCTTGTGATAAAGTATCAGCCAGGAAAAACTATGGAAATGGCAGATGCTCAAGGCATGGACTTCCAGATACATGAAATATGCCCTCAATTCAGCAACGACATGATCAAGAGAATCAAGGAGGCTACAGCGGTCAATCCAGAATTAAGCGCATTGAAAGAACAAACATACATCGGTTGCCCTTCAGACATCAAAGGAGTACCAGCTCTCATTAAGCCATACTGGGCATTCAGAGATGAAATATCCATAGACAACAGATTGATAATTTATAAATTATCTCAATGACTCCGATGTCTTATGTGATAATCAATATGGCTTTAGAAAAAATCGCTCTCCTAGCTTTGCGCTTATCGATTTGTGTGACAAAATTTCTTCTGCATTTGATAGAAAAGAACATGCCATTGGAGTATTCCTAGATCTTTCGAAAGCGTTCGATACAGTAAATCACGACATTCTTTTTGACCAACTCAATCATTATGGGATCCGTGGTCTGGCACTAGAATGGGTCAAAAGTTATTTTTCTGAGAGGACACAATTTGTCGAATTTAATAACGTTAGATCTGCCCCACAGGGGATTCCCTGTGGGGCGCCTCAAGGTTCTATTCTTGGTCCCTTATTTTTTATCCTGTATGTTAATGATTTGAACAATGCTTCCCTG